AAAACGTCGGGCCTCAGGTCGGCGGCGCGCCCGGGGGCGGAGAGAGAGAGGGGGGCGGGCCTTCTCGGAGGGCTCGGAAGGTCCCTGGCCTCATCTGAAAGTGTTCTTGAAGGGGCCCCAGGACACACAAATACATACACACTCATAAAAAGATTCCCCATATTTTCCTATATTTTCTGGGTGTTTGTCTTCCCCCCCACTTCCCATATTTTCCCATATTTTCCTGGGAATCGACGATTAATTGTGTCTGTGTGTTTTTCCCCCTCCTGAGTTCTGAGCTTTCGCCGAAGACACGGAGAACTTCTCAGAAGGCGCGAGGGCCTCTGAGAAGTCTCCCGCCGCCTTCTGAGAGAAGGCCTTCTGGTTCTCGTGTCCCCCCCCTCGCTCGCCGCCGATCAGGGGAGCGCAAGACGGAAGGGGCACGGACTCTCGGGGGACCGTGCGGGCCCCCTTGCGTCGGCGCTTGGCCCCCCTCCCGTGGCGCGCGGAGCGGGTCAGGGGAGACGCACACGGGCCTCCAGCAGTTCACGCAGGCGGGCGACAACCAAAAACGGGCTTTGCGCGAGATGCAGTAGCAGCCTCTGGTCGCAACTCCTACGCGGGCCACCAGCGCGGCACGGCACCTCTGCAGCGAGGGCGCTGACCCGCGACCTTGCGCGGGCAGTGCCTGCGCGCGAATGGCGGTAAAGACGGCCCCGTTCTTCTGCGGCAGCGCTCACGCGTCACTCTGTCGGCTCGCCCTCCCAGGGGCCTCTCCCAGCCAGGAGCTGTAGGTGGGAATGCACGCCTCGCGCACGAGCTTCACGATGGCCTCCGCATAGGCCACGCGCGCCTGCAGCTGCATCTCCGCGATCACAGAGACGCCCTCGGACGGCACGTCGTCGAGGTCGTCGAGCAGCTTCAGGATGCTCTCGAGGTGCCCCAGCGCCACCGCCAGCCTCTCGGCGGCGCGGACGAGGGGGGGGATGTGAGAGGGTGCCCGCCCCCTCGCGCAGCGGGGAGTCATGAAGGAAGAGGACAATGACCGATACCGCTATGCCCTTGCCTCAATTTCGCCGTTTCGGGTCTCCTGAAACGCCCTCGTCGCCACGGATAGTTTGTTATGTCGCAGGTTGTGTGTGTATGGTGTGTGAGCGTGTGTGTGTGTGTGTGTGTGTGTGTGTGTGTGTGTGTGTGTGTGTGTGTGTGTGTGTGTGTGTGTCCGTGTGCGTGCGTGCGTGCGTGCGTGCGTGCGTGCGTGCGTGCGTGCGTGCGTGCGTGCGTGCGTGCGTGCGTGCGTGCGTGCGTGTGTGTGTGTGTGTGTGTGCGCGTGCGTGCGTGTGTGTGTGTGTGCGTGCGTGCGTGCGTGCGTGTGTGTGTGTGTGTTGTAGTGGGCGTGTGTGGTGTGTGTGTGGTTTCGGTCTGTTTGTAGTCCTCCGATCGTCTGTGGTGTGGTGTCGGCGTGTGCGTGTGCGTTATGTGAATATGTGTGTGTTGTGTAGTGCGCGTGTGCGCGTGTTGCGGTGTGCGAGTGTGCGACGGTGTGCGAACAGTGGGCGATGTGTGCGAGTGTTGCGTCCTGTGGTGCGTAGTGCGTGTGCGTGGTGCGTAGTGCGTGTGCGTGTGCGTGTGCGTGCGCGTGCGCGTGCGCGTGCGCGTGCGCGTGCGCGTGCGCGTGCGCGTGTGCGTGTGCGTGTGCGTGTGCGTGTGCGTGCGCGTGCGCGTGTGCGTGTGCGTGTGCGTGTGCGTGTGCGTGTGGGTGTGGGTGTGGGTGTGGGTGTGGGTCAAGCTAGCCAGCTCGAGCGAGTCAAACATGGCATGCCCATTCCCACCCGCCCTCCCACAACATAAGAAACAGTGATGGCACAACTGGGGGTTGCGCGGGCATTTCAGTGCGAGGGGAAGATACCCCAGGACACCGCATTGACGTCCGCGCGGGATGCGCGCCGCATCCCATTCCCGCCACGCATTTCGCAACGTCGACGACAAGACTGGCCACATTGAAAGGAACAACGGACACGTTCCGCCCTCCCACAACATAAGACACAATGTTGACGCAACTGGGTGCTGGCGCGTAGTGGTAGTAGGAGTAGTAGTAGTAGTAGTAGTAGTAGTAGTATCATTAGTAGTAGTAGTAGTAGTAGTAGTAGTAGTAGTAGTAGTGGTAGTGGAAGTAGTAGTAGTAGTAGTAGTAGTAGTAGTAGTAGTAGTAATAGTAGTAGCAGTAGTAAAGTTAGTAGTAGTAGTAGTAGTAGTAGTAGTAGTAGTCGTAGTAGTAGTAGTAGTAGTAGTAGTAGTCGTAGTAGTCGTAGTAGTAGTAGTAGTAGTAGTAGTAGTAGTAGTAGTAGTAGTAGTTGTAGTAGTAGTAGTAGTAGTATTAGTGGTAGTAGCAATCGAGTAGTAGTAGTAGTAGTAGTAGTAGTAGTAGTAGTCGTAGTAGTAGTAGTAGTAGTAGAGTAGTAGTCGTAGTCGTAGTCGAGTCGTAGTCGTAGTTCGTAGTCGTAGTCGTTTAGTCGTAGTCGTCGTCG